GGGCTTCGGCCGCTCGTACCCGGCTGTGGGATTCGGCCGCTCGCACCCGGCTGTGGGCTTCAACGGCTCGTACATATACTCGGCTGTGGGCCTGCCTTTTCCCTGCCTGCCGGGTTTCGGCCCGGCGGTTTGGCCGGCAGGTGACTCGGGCTGCGGCCTGGCGCTTTGGCCACCGTCGGCGCCCTGAGAAGGGTCCTGGTCGGACCTCACTTGCTCGGACATGTGTGCGACACTTGTGCACTCACTGAAACATGTTTGCGACACTGGAACAACACAGCCTGTCACGTGTATGAATATGGAGAGTGAAATATGATTAGTCTAAAGCAGTCGTGATTTTTCCCCCTTTCATGGAACCGTGTGCATATTGTGGCGTGTTATGTAATCCAGAGCGTGTTTTTCTGCTGTTGAAGGACGAATGTTTTTGTTTACCTTTATATAAAGTGGACCTAGAGTCGATCTAAGCGATATCTAAAGAAAACGTTTTCATACGCAATTAAAGTGTGTGTGTATGTGTATGTGTACCTGTGTGTGTGAGTTTGTGTGTGTGTGTGTGTGTGTGTGTGTGTGTGTGTGTGTGAGTGAGTGTGTGAGTGTGTGTGTGTTTGTGTGTGTGTGTGTCTACAAAATAGGATCAGGGGTACAGAGATAGCTGATTTGTGAGTGTTTGTGAGGGAGAGAGAAAGGGAGAGGCAGAGTTTTTTTGTGTGTTAATTTTTTGTGTGTACGTGTGTGCGTTTGTCTGTATGACATTGTGTGGCAGACAAACAGCACATTTCTTATCATGTGGCCGGTGACCCTGAAATAGCCCAGCTGTGTGCATTCACACGCCGCCGGACCGTCTCACTAGTCTGACAGTTTAGCTCGTCAAACCAACTGTTCTGCCAGCTGTTCTGCCAACTGTTCTGCCAACTGTTCTGCCAACTGTTCTGCCAACTGTTCTGCCAGCTGTTCTGCCAGCTGTTCTGCCAACTGTTCTGCCAACTGTGGGTCCCGTGACGCTGTCTGACATGAAGCCGCGTCTTCTGCTTCTTCTTGTCATCCTTTCTGTCATCGTGCCGTCACGGGCGAGTTTGGTGAGTATTTGCTTTTCTTAGTGAGGTAATAACGAAAGCAGCTGGAAACCTGAATTTCCAAGTTGTTCGTGTCCATATGTTTTCTTTTTTGGATTTTACATATTACATACACATGGTATTGCTTGTATGCTGTGTACACGACCTGTACGGACGACTCAGATATAACTGCCTTGTGGTGGTGCATATGTATATGTATGACTGCCTTTGTCTGGTGTGTAGCTGAAGAACGCGTATACCAGCTATACGGATACAGATATAGATTGTTACCTAGAAATGCCTACTACTGTTACCCCCCCCCCTTAGTACACGTCCTGTACGGATGACTCCCATATAATTACCTTGTTACCCCCTACCATACCCTTTAGTACCCGTCCTGTACGGATAACTCCCATATAATTACCTTGTTACCCCCTACCATACCCTTTAGTACCCGTCCTGTACGGATGACTCCCATATAATTACCTTGTTACCACCTACCATACCCTTTAGTACCCGTCCTGTACGGATAACTCCCATATAATTACCTTGTTACCCCCTACCATACCCTTTAGTACACGTCCTGTACGGATGACTCGCAGTGCACTGCTGACGAGTCCTGTTGGTACTCCCGGATCTGCTACCCGCTCTTCAAGGTTAGTGCGTTTTTATGTCACTCTCCTACCGAGATACACTCAAATGGTCGGTAAGTCGGTTGCTGATTGCGTCGTTGGTTTGAAATTGTTGGTTGGTCAGTGGGATTTGAATCCACCAGTACACCAGACATTTTTGGCCCGGCCAATATATGCCGCACTACTTTAACAACGTAAGCTCCCGTAGCTCAGTCAATCTATTTTCAAAGCTCTTGCGACTTGGTGATGCCATAATCTCATTCCTTTTTGAGCCCGGGCCGCCTTTTTCAAAAGCTTGTGTAGTTTTGTTGTCGCCGACTTTGTACTCACCTCGGGAACCACCACTACACCTGCTAATTTGTTTGATTGTTTGTTTGTTTGTTTGTTAGTTTGTTTTTCCCAGCGCTGTACTGATCTTGGTAACCGCCAGTACACCTGCTGATTTGTTTGTTTGTTTGTTTGTTTGTTGTCTGTAGCGCTGTACTGACCTCGGTAACCACCAGTACACCTGTTAATTTGTTTGTTTGTTTGTTTCTTTTTCCCAGCGCTGTACGGACCTCGGGAACCACCAGTACACCTGCGGGTCGCCTGAGGAAATCTGCAAGCCCGCTCTGCGCGTGTGCGAACCGGAAATGCCCTGTGACCTGGATGGGTTCTGCTGGGGCGTGGGCCGCTGCGTCATGTCCGGTGCTCTGGGTTACGGCGTCTGTCACTATGACTACGTCGACGGATAAACAAGTTGCCATGGTTACTCTGTAACGTCTGTTGGCACTTCTAACAGAGGTCACTTGTTGGGAAGATTGTGGGCAAAATAAAGGAATGCCAAGCAAATTCTGCCATGTTATAAAACTGTCTTCATTTAGCCCTATTTACAGTCCTTACAGGTAATCTATAATCTGATAAACTTCTCCTTCGCTGCAGAAGAATCGCAACGTAAGTCACGTGTAGGTATGATGAGTTCAGGCACTTTAAAAAACAAACATGTGCAGCGATTGGTACGCATTAATGTAAATCATTACAACATAAATCAAAACAACAGGGTCAGACGTTTTATACCGTTGAATACTAGTATCTTCCATCTGTGATTCTCAGCTGATAAAAGCCGCCGGGGGGGGGGATATTGAAATAACCTATGTAGTCCGATCACGTGTCGAAGTTTACACAACACACCCAAGGCACACCCATCCGTCCGTTTCCAAAGCTCATCAGATACAAACTTCAGGGGACCGTAAAAATATATAAAGCAAGCAAGCAACATGATGTGACATCATGTTGAACCGAAAATCATCGATATACGATCAGGTTCACTTTGCACTGATTAGAAAAAAAAGGATTAAACCCCTACGCCAGGCGAGAATGGAACAGCCCATCACAAGATGGTGGACAGGTGTCAGGTTGCAGTGTTCACCAATGGCGCGTTCAGCTCGCTGTGCGGGGATTGTGGGCGTGACGTGCCTGCTGATCGGAACTCTGGGACTGTGTCTGTATAACACCCTGCTCTACACCTTCGTCACTAAGGTACGACAGTCTCACGTTGGTATCTTTGTTACAGTTTTAGGAAACACGTATTTCTGGACAAACCCGGTGCATTTGTTGGATTATTGATTTGGACTTTGGAGTGTTTTTTAACACTAGTACGCAGGCTAGCTAGGTGCTTGCGTCTATCACAGGCGAACGTCAGCAAAATTTGGTCGTAACGTCATTTTTCTGCCTTAGAAAAAAAATGAAAGCTAGAAAACGTTAAGGAGTCGCTCAAGACTTCAAGCGCCTGAAAATATACCTGCAGCTTATGATTCTCTAGGAGGGACCGTACGTTTTTAATCCTCTGCATCCCCCTTCTGCAGATGATGGTTCTCCAGGAGGGATCGTTCATTTATAACTTCTGGAAGGACATCCCGATCCCGATCTACATGCAGTTCTACCTGTTCGACATCCTGAATGTGGACGAAGTGATGAAGGGGGGGAAACCGGCAGTGCAACAGCGGGGACCGTACACTTACAGGTTAGGGGGAGGGACCGTACACTTACAGGTTAGGGGGAGGGACCGTACACTTACAGGTTAGGGGGGGACCGTACACTTACAGGTTAGGGGGAGGGACCTTACACTTACAGGTTAGGGGGACCTTACACTTACAAGTTAGGGGGGGACCGTACACTTGCAGGTTAGGGGGGGACCGTACACTTACAGGTTAGGGGGAGGGACCTTACACTTACAGGTTAGGGGGAGGGACCGTACACTTACAGGTTAGGGGGGGACCGTACACTTACAGGTTAGGGGGAGGGACCTTACACTTACAGGTTAGGGGGACCGTACACTTACAGGCTGGAAGGAGGGACCGTACACTTACAGGTTAGGGGGAGGGACCTTACACTGACAGGTAAGGGGGAGGGACCGTAAACTTACATGTTAGGGGGGACCGTACACTTACATGTTAGGGGGAGGGACCGTACACTTACAGGTTAGGGGGAGGGACCTTACACTAACAGTTTAGGGGGACCTTACACTTACAGGTTAGGGGGACCGTACACTTACAGGTTAGGGGAGGGACCGTACACTTACAGGTTAGGGGAGGGACCGTACACTTACAGGTTAGGGGAGGGACCGTACACTTACAGGTTAGGGGGAGGGACCGTACACTTACAGGTTAGGGGGGGGGAACCTTACACTTACAGGTTAGAGGGAGGGACCGTACACTTACAGGTTAGGGGGGGAAACCTTACACTTACAGGTAAGGGGGAGGCACCGTACACTTACAGGTTAGGGGGTCATTTCCAGTACACTTATATGTCGGGGGTTTGTGTCTTAAACATTACATTTACAAATTAGAGGGTTTTTTATTGTACACTTCCAAGTTAGGGGGTCATTAACAATACACAGTTCGGGATAGGCTTTTAGTGCACAGTTACAGATCAGAGTCTTTGAATTACACATGGAGGCAGACGTTCTTCGTACTAACAAACCAAACTAGAATGACTTACAAGAGTTCATACACTATAAAAGAACACCAGAAGGAGGTCATGATATGACCTAGACCAGGTCTCACCCTAACGGGGTCCCCACTGCCACGGAGCGAGGATAAGGATGGCAACAAGGCTTCTTCTAAAATCTTTTGTTTTATACTATTCATATTTGTTTGTCTTCAGGGAGTACAGAAATAAGTCCAGTCTCCAGTTTCACGAAGACGACACAGTTTCCTACTTGAACGTGAAACGGTACGAGTTCGTGCCGGAGATGTCAGTCGGGTCAGAGAACGACACATTAACGACACTCAACATTCCAGCTATGGTCAGTAGCTTTTTATGTTATACACCCAGCTATGGTCAGTTTATACACATCCCAGCTATGGTCAGTTTATACACATCCCAGCTATGGTCAGTTTATACACATCCCGGCTATGGTCAGTAAGCTCCCAACATCCCAGCTATGGTCAGTAAACTCCCAACATCCCAGCTATGGTCAGTAAACTCCCAACATCCCAGCTATGGTCAGTAAACTCCCAACATCCCAGCTATGGTCAGTTTATATACACACAGCTATGGTCAGCAAACTCTTCGATTGACTATGATCATCCCTCACTAGCAAAAAACAACCTTCTACGCGCTATGCTCTCTCCCATAGCCAGAACATCCTTTAGCTAGAATGTGGGCTATAAAAGAAAAAAAAGAATTAGTCATTTTCACCCCCCCCCCCCATCCCCCTCCAGGCGATCTCGTGGTGGCTGAAGTCGCAGCGGGCCGGCATTAAGGACGCGGCGTCTCTGGCGCTGCTTCTGGCCGGGGAACCGCTGTTTTTCCGCCGCTCGGTCTCGGGGCTGATCTGGGGCTACCCGGAGCCGCTTCTCGCCGCCGCACACAGGTTCGCGCCGGCGCTCATCAGGGACGATAAGTTCGGCCTTTTCTTAAATGTGAGTACACAAATAACATTCTTTTTGATGCCATACTTGTTACATGTTCCATTCAGCTCTTATTTGGGCTCAGTATTTTTACGATGACCGCGGCTTAACATAATGCTACACGTAATAAATATTAAATCTTTAAGATTCTAGCTTATTCTAAAGTATACCCCACCTGCTTTCCCGCCAGCAAAAGACGAACTCCACAGATGGCGTATACACGGTGTTCACAGGACGGACGGACCCGGCCAAGTTCGCCGACATCTACCAGTGGAACGGCATGACGTAAGCACTTGCCTTCCAATGTGTCTGTGTTTCTCCGCATATTTGTAGTCAGAACTTAACATGGTCTAAAAGACTAGGGTTGGATATTGGCGTCTTCGTGGCTTTTCTTGCTACTGCAGCAAAGCATTTTTTAAAATCTTTTGTCAATGACATACTATAGAATACCCGCCTCGAAATCTCGAGGTCTGTAATTGTGTAATTATGATCATGTTTTTTTCTACAGAAAATTACCGTACTGGAAGCCTCCATGTGGCAGAGTAAATGGCACAGGTATTTCTTATACAGTGAAATTTAGCAGCCATCCACCTGCAGTTAAACACTTACAGTCGCATCAAAAAAGACCTCCAACTACACCCAGTCGCCCTTTTCTCTCTGGCCTTTGGCTGGTTGTCAAGATTAGATTTGATTTCACTGCGTACATTTTTTTTTACATTTCAGCGCATGCGCGCTGAAATGTACTGATACGGAATCTATCCGTCTTTGTTTCTTTCTTTCTTTCTTTGGTAGTTTGGTAACTCTGCAGGCCTTGCAATACCTGTTTACTTCTTTCCGGTTTGTGGTATATGCAATAGACTTGCTGCCATTTTAATCCTTGTTCTTTACAAAAAGAAACTTTATGTAGTAACAGTCTCATCTAGTGACATACCATTGATCGAAGTATGGTTACATAAGTTTTTAGGCGCTAATTTATTGATCGTACTACAAATCTAAAAATGATTGCATAAATTATATTAATGACAAAAATAATGCCGCCTGTCGCTAGATGTCGTTGTTGCATGTCCTGGCGAAGTTTCTCTATTATGTTTGCACTTTTACGTTTGCCTGTTGCATTGTTCTTACTCAGGAATGTCAATACGTTTGATACTTACTCTTTTTAAAGACGGGCTTTCATGCTTCAATCATAATTCGCTCGGACCTGCCCAATTTTCTCGGATCGCTATGTATAGTCTGTTGCTTAGGCAGCCAGACAATGACGCAATGAGATAGCTCGACGTACGGGTAGCGATGCTAGCTGAGTGGCGGTGCACGTCGCGGCGTTTGGACATTGAGAGTTCGATCCCCTGAGAGGAACTTTTTTTTTTAATTTTCTTTTTTTTTCAAATTTTTCAAATTTTCTTTTTTTTTAAATTTTTTTTAATTTTCTTTTTTTTTAATTTTTTTAAAGTTCTTTTTTTAATTTTCTTTTTTGCGGTGCAAGTGGCGGGGTTTGCGAGTTCGATCCCCGGAGAGCTTTTTTTAATTTTCTTTTTAGCAGTCGCTGTTTTGCTTTTAACACTCAAAAACTAATTGTTCAAGTCCCGACGTATGAGTTTTTTTCAATTTTCTTTTTAACATCCGCTGTTTTGCTTTTTTTAATCAGATGTGTTTTCTTCTTTAAGTGGTCTCGTACCAATTTCATCAACTTGGGTAATATCATTTCAACAACGTCTACCTCAATAACGGCAGTAAAACCTTCGTCAGCTGAAATGTCTGCTTTTTTTAAAAGCACTTGTTTACATTGATCAGAGAATCTCGTCAGACGGGGTAAAAGTCATAATATATACAGCAGTACATTTATCACAGGGACATAAAATTAAACCAAGTCTTAGCTGCGCGGCTTCTGCCTTCAATATCATTACGTGTAAATAAGAACGGAAATTACACTATCTCTGACCAATTCACGTGTCTATGACGTCAGATGCACATGTAAGATAAAATCTTGTCATTACTATACTAGATCTACAAATTTCTAAGTTGACACCATCATCATTTGTTTATTTTTTCATTGCGTCTTGTTTGTAAACATACAGAGGGAATAATGTTCCCACCGATAGAAGACACGGAAAAACGGCTGTACATCTTCGTGTCCGATTTGTGCAGGTATGTCCCGCGAAGGCACCTTTTATTTTGCGTCTTTTGTCAATTTCCAATCGAGCTGCAAACATCCAGGTAGTAGACATAATCTCGGCGTACTGCTAAATAAGCTATGCAGAAAAAATCTACGATCTATGTCACCAAACCGGCCTACCCAACGTACGAGGGGGCCCAGCACTTCAACCTCTCAATATGGCCCTTTCCGCCCTTACGGTGTCGGCAGTAGTTACTAAAGCTAACCTTTGTTGTTAGGTCGGCCTAACGTTGTTGTGCATGTCCGCCTACCTAACCAGTAGTTAAATGCTATCATCATTATTCAGGTCAGCCTACGTAACGTAGGGCCGTATAGCGCTAACATTGTTGTTTGTTGAATTGTGCAGGTCCGCCTGCCTAACGCACGGCAGTAGAATGATAACATTTTTGTTTGTTGAATTGTGCAGGTCAGCCTACCTGACGTACGGCAGTATAACACTAACATTGTTGTTCAGGTCCGCCTACCTAACGCACGGCAGTATAACGCTACCATTGTTGTGCAGGCCCGCCTACCTAACGCACGGCAGTAGAATGCTAACATTTTTGTTTGTTGAATTGTGCAGGTCAGCCTACCTGACGTACGAAGGCGCCCGGGCCGTGGGCGGCGTGCCGGTGTACCGCTACACGCTCCCGCCGGAGGAGCTGCGCAGTGGCCGGTCCGACCCCGACACAGCCTGCTACTGCGGGGACACATGTCTGCCGGACGGGCTCATAGACGTGAGGAACTGCCACTTAGGTAAGGCACATTCACGTCTGAAACTGCCACTTAAGTAAGGCACATAGACGCCAAGAACTACCACTTAGGTAAGGCACATTCACGCCAGGAACTGGTTAGGTAAGGACTGGCGGTTGCCTTTTTTCACTCTACACGTTACGAGATTTTTCTGCCAGGAAACGTTTTGCTAATACTTCAGCAGCAAATCACTCTTAATTTCTCCATTCCCCATCTCTCAGGAGAAAGTTCCACGCTGAAAGCTTCTTTTCTAGAACTACATCGGTACTTAAGTAAGGCACATAGACGCCAAGAACTACCACTTAGGTAAGGCACATTCACGCCAGGAACTGCCACTTAGGTAAGGCACATAGACGCCAGGAACTGCCACTTAGGTAAGGCACATTCACGTCAGGAACTGCCACTTAGGTAAGGCACATTCACGTCAGGAACTGCCACTTAGGTAAGGCACATTCACGCCAGGAACTGCCACTTAGGTAAGGCACATTCACGCCAGGAACTGCCACTTAGGTAAGGCACATTCACGCCAGGAACTGCCACTTAGGTAAGGCACATAGACGTCAGGAACTGCCACTTAGGTAAGGCACATTCACGCCAGGAACTGCCACTTAGGTAAGGCACATTCACCCCAGGAACTGCCACTTAGGTAAGGCACATAGACGCCAGGAACTGCCACTTAGGTAAGGCACATTCACGTCAGGAACTGCCACTTAGGTAAGGCACATAGACGTCTGAAACTGCAACTTAGGTAAGGCACATAGACGCCAGGAACTGCCACTTAGGTAAGCCAAGGTTAGGTAAGGACTGGCGGTTGCCTTTTTTCACTCTACACGTTACGAGATTTCTCTGCCAGGAAACGTTTTGCTAATACTTCAGCAGCAAATCACTCTTAATTTCTCCATTCCCCATCTCTCAGGAGAAAGTTCCACGCTGAAAGCTTCTTTTCTAGAACTACATCGGTATGCGTTTTGTATATAAGTAACTTGTAAACCTGATTTTTCTGGCATTGACGTGAGGTAATGGATGCTACCTGAAACGTCTGTTTCCAAAATCATATCCAGTTGCTTGAGTAACTGTTGTGGCGTATTTGTATTTAAAGTTCACTTGTGTAACCCAAAACACGTAAGTCGTTCGTATGAGCCTTTTGGGGCGGAAATTAAAGCAGATAAAAAGAAATCTTATCTCATTATATATTTGTAAACCACACAAAAACTGTCCTTTTTCCCGCCAGACGCTCCGGTCGTCTTATCACTGCCTCACTTCTACCTTGGGAACGAGAGTTTGTCTAGGGGAGTGACCGGTCTCGAACCCAATAAAATGGAGCATCAGATCTTCCTTGACGTGGAACCGGTAAGAATGAACTGAGTATTTTTTAAAAAGTCAGATATTTCCGCCTGAATCTGACAACGCTCAGACAGTGTTAGACATGGCAGCCTTACTCTGACAACGTTCCGTTAGACATGTCAGCCTTACTCTGACAACGTTCCGTTAGACATGGCAGCCTAACTCCGACAACTTCCCGTTAGACATGACAGCCTTACTCTGACAACGTTCCGTTAGACATGTCAGCCTTACTCTGACAACGTTCCGTTAGACATGGCAGCCTAACTCCGACAACTTCCCGTTAGACATGACAGCCTTACTCTGACAACGTTCCGTTAGACATGTCAGCCTTACTCTGACAACGTTCCGTTAGACATGGCCGCCTTACTCTGACAACGTTCGGTTAGACATGGCAGCCTAACTCCGACAACTTTCCGTTAGACATGACAGCCTTACTCTGACAACGTTCCGTTAGACATGACAGCCTTACTCTGACAACGTTCCGTTAGACATGGCCGCCTTACTCTGACAACGTTCCGTTAGACATGGCCGCCTTACTCTGACAACGTTCCGTTAGACATGGCCGCCTTACTCTGACAACGTTCCGTTAGACATGGCCGCCTTTGACGGCTTTCAGCGAGAGTTATACTTGGCAGCCTGAATCTGACAACCTTCGGCTACTGTTTGAGATCGTTGTAAAATGAACGCGAAAGATCCACATAATTTTATGCCCTTTCCGTTTGTTAGAGTACAGGCGTGGCGTTAGCGGCGGCAAGAAGAACCCAGATCAACATCATCGTCAGCCCCGTCACACATATGAGGCAGGCTACTCTCTTGTCTTATATAATACATGCATGATAATCATGCCGGGTGGTTTTTACATAGCCCTTTAATGTTGTTTTGATCAAATACATTGAGCTTGTATAAGATTAGATTAGATTCACCATGGCTAAATCTTTGTAATACTTTGTAATTGTTAATTAGGTAGCTGGCTTCATTCCGACATACAGCCGACAAATAAACCAAATTGAATCCACCCATTCAGGACCTTACCACGACTTTCCTTCCGACCGCTTCCCAACCATTCAGGACCTTACCACGACTTTCCTTCCGACCGTTTGCCAACCAAGTCGGCGCTGGGTTGGGGATAGCCTCGAATGCGTTCTATTTCCGCTTCAGTTCTCTGGTCGAGCAAAATGTTCATTTCGCTATTTTGATATTTCACACGGACGTAGTCGGCTCACACGGACGTGCTTACATGATGCAACCTCGCCAACCAAAGACGACCATTTTTTACGACTACTAGTAACTCCCAACCATGGTCTGAAAGGATGGAGAGGCCATTATACGCTCTGTGAAATAGTTACGTAACCATGTAAACGTGAATGTTTAGTGTATGTTCCGCAATGAAATATTGTGTGTTTTTTTATCCTTCCTTTGTTTTATGTTATTGCAGAGAAACAGAAAAGGTTCGGGAAGTGGTGCTGCCTATCGTTTGGATTAATGAGGTATGTATACATACCTACGTAGGGGAGCACGGCTGACGATAGAATAAATGTCCTGTAAAAATTTCAACCAATCAGTGCGAAAATTATAATTATGTATTTTGTTATTGAAGAGTCATTGCAAGAGAAAACCAGGCAAAACCAGGCAAAGGTCTGAAGATGGGGGTCGGCCAAATCGGCACATACTTTGTATGTGAGACTGGTATGGGGAACTATTAACAGTCATATAGTTAAAACCTTCAGAGTGCCAAACAGGGAACGCATACTCGACTAGCAGCGGTCGTACTAACCTAGAGAAAACCAGAGTCAGTTCACTAAAAGCAAGTCCATGTTCCTAACGTGTTCAGTCTAATGGCGATCATGGTGACTAGGCTGTTCCACTTAACATGAGCTTGAAGAATCACCCCACGGACTTTTGAAACTTGAACAACATCGAGTGCTGATGTTTCGGTGGTCTGTTCGGCTTGTCTAATGTGTTGTATTGTTTGCCCCCTATAGAGAGCGTATATATACTCTGTTAGACATGTCTAATTGTTGTGTCTACTAATAGTAACTTCTTGTGTTGTTTGTTCCCGAATAGAGCGCGGCGGTCGGTCCGGACTTTACTCAGTACTTCTGGGACCAGGTTGTTCTGAAGGAACGCGCTGGTCTGGGCGGACTGGTGGCCATGGCGGCAGCGGGGGGAGCACTGGTGCTGCTGGTGTCCCTATGGTCCTGCAGCAAACGGGTAATTATAAACAACTTCTGTCTGGTACTGCAGCAATCGGGTAAAACAACTTTAAAACGTCTTACTGATGCTTAAGAACATGAGTAAAACAACTTCATAACGTCTGTGATCGTACAGAAGCTTGTCTCTCGAATATGTTATATTTTTGTCGTAATACTGAAAGTACACTTCCCTATTTCAGAAAGACGCAGCTGAACACGGTGTGAGACCCCGGATTATACAGGCCACTAAAACCGGAGAGGAGGCGACTCCATTGTTACAGTCTGAGGGTCGCACATGAGGGCCGACAGATCTATGTCAATATTATATAAGTACTAATTTTACTGTACTGAAATGTGGATATTCTTATTTAACGGATGTTCTGAACCATACGGTGATAACACACGTAAGGAAGGAGGATAATATAACACACGCAACGAGATGCAGAATAGAATAATTTTGTCACATCTGGGCTGGATACGGAGCTGCCGTAAGGTCACTAAACTGCCTCAGCCGAGTTCAAAACCGCTTACAACATCTTGTTGGGAGTGACTTGATAGCCACCCTACAACCACTCTCACACAGGCGATATGTTGCAAGCACGACGTTATTTTATCCTATTTCCACGGTAAATGCACAGAAATATAACTTGCACACAGGGCAGAGAAAACAAGGCAGCAACCTAACTGTCCTTTTTCACAACATGGTAATGTATTAGTTATCCTTGAAAAAAAGGAACCGTCTTAATTAGATCAAATTTTCATGTAACAAGTCGTACCATCATGGGCAGCTGCTATACTGGGTAGGGGGTAGTCAAATAGAATGGAACATTTGCCTTTGACTGCCAAAACTTGCCAATAACGCTGGGTCCTTGACGGTGTCTGAACCGACACATTGACGACATAATTCTCATTTTCGATATGCCCCCGTGGGAGGGCATTTTATTTATTTATCATTATATATAAAACAATCGACATGGCAGAAGTACATGGGCATCTATCTTGAATTGTGTCCTAGTTTATACGTATAAAAATATTGGAACGTAAAAAGAAATTCTTATCAGATAATCCTTCAACAAAGTAGAGGTCTGAACGCTTACACGTCACTATATAGAAAATGCACAAAGATTCACATGGTCAAGTGTGAAAAATAAATTTTGTCTTAATGTATGCTTTCCTTTCCTTTGCTTGTAAGTTCAGCAGTCTTATTTCTTGTGCAATTACGTTTCTGCATAAAGTCTGTTAGATTTTATATAACAGCAAAAAACAAACAAACAAACAAACATCCCTAAAATGTTTCTGACGGCTCCATCCCCCAGAGAGTCGAGTGGAATGTCCCCTCCATGGGGGCGCCGGGTACCCCCTCATTTGCTTGTCTGTCATGGAACGTCCCGTTTTGGACGGTTTGGTGGGAGCCAAACCATTGCTTTCGGACAGAGGGGTGGCAGGCAGCGATGACTTGTCTTGGCTAGGGTTATGGCAGGCAGCGATGTCTTTTCTTGGCTAGGGTGATGGCAGGCAGCAATGTCTTGTCTTGACTAGGGTTATGGCAGGCAGCGACGTCTTGGCTAGGGTTATAGCAGGCAGCGACATCTTGGTTAGGGTTATGGTAGCATCATCTTGTCTTGGCTAGGGTTATTTATTTAAATTATGGCAGCAGCATCTTGTGTTGGCTAGGGTTATGGCAGCAGCATCTTGTGTTGGCTAAGGTTATGGCACACAGCGACGTCTTGGCTAGGGTTAGGGTTAGGGTTGGGTTGGATTGGGTTAGTTAGGGTTAGAGTTATGGTTAAGGTTAGGGTTAGGGTTAGGGTTAGGTTATTGGTCTCAGGGGCTAAAAGTTGGTTAGGCCACACCAATTTTATTTGTTGGTTCTCGGATATTTTCATGAAAAATGTAAAGCAACAGGGCGAAAAAAAACATGCTCAAATGGTAAAGCTAAGGCTGGAAAAAGGGATTGAGAACCAAGCTATGACTATACATGCTAAAACATTGCTGTTTTATGGCCTATGCAGGGTTCTCACCAGGATGTTTTTCACAGCATAGGGGGACCTAGTGCAGCGAGGCCACACGGCAAGCGCTGCGCGGGCACAATTTGTATTATGGTATTCACAATTGCAGCAAGGAAGTCTTTTATTTCCTAATAAAAAAAGTTATTTATTTATTGTTTGATTCAGGCATAGCCCATAGACAACATAGACAACACAAAATACATCAATTTAAAAATACAATGTCTAGGATAAAAGAAACGGGGACTAGGCCAGACCAATTTATTTCCTTGGTTAACTGATTCGCCGATTACTTTTATTGCCGAATGAAAATAAAAATAAAAACCGTTATAGTTTAGAACCCACAGGCCGGGTACACCGAACAGGGATTGATCACAATGAAATTTGCTGCAGTTGATACCAGTATCGCTAGAGGCGCTCCTGCACTCAGTCACATGATGTAAAGGAGCCAATCGTGGATTGTTTTACTTCCTGACCAATCAGGCGCGATCTTCTGGATGCCATGTTGGCTCAGTCATTTTCTTTGTTATGCATGGCGGCCACAAGGCCGGAGGTTTTGTTTGAGAAAGCTGTTTCACTTTGGATCAAGGCAGGATCTAGGTAAGTACATGTAAATAGAGTAAATTTTGTCCCCTTTAAAGTTGTTGTGACTATGAATTTGCTAGTGAGAGTTTACACTGTGTGACTTTTAGTGTCATGTTTTAGAGTACATATAATTTGATTATGGTGGAAGTAAAACTTGTTTCAACTTGTTTTTCTTGCAAATTTGCTCGTGTACGAGAAAGATTATCAACTCCAAAGCACCATAAAACACGCTTTATATGCATGAAGTAATGTTTGTGTATTGAGAACACCAAATTGCACACACATGTTTAGTTTTAAGAAGAATTGTTTTGGGGAACTTCTCTATGTCTGCTCTACTAGGGTTAGGGTTAGGGTTAGGGTTAGGGGTTAGGGTTAGGGTTAGGGTTAGGGTTAGGGTTAGGGTTAGGGTTAGGGTTAGGGTTAGGGTTAGGGTTAGGGTTAGGGTTAGGGTTAGGGTTAGGGTTAGGGTTAGGGTTAGGGTTAGGGTTAGGGTTAGGGTTAGGGTTACACGTGCAATGTTTTGGGGGTGTGTTAGGGTTAGGGTTAGGGTTAGGGTTAGGGTTAGGGTTAGGGTTAGGGTTAGGGTTAGGGTTAGGGTTAGGGTTAGGGTTAGGGTTAGGGTTAGGGTTAGGGTCAGGGTTAGGGTTAGGGTTAGGGTTAGGGTTAGGGTTAGGGTTAGGGTTAGGGTTAAGGGTTAGGGTTAGGGTTAGGGTTAGGGTTAGGGTTAGGTATACACGATTTGAACGTTTTAAGATTAGATTCGGTAGGTGGAAGGATACATAACCGTATCACCATTCTTTTTGGACTAATCACGTGGAAGGATACATATCACGTCTGTTTTGGACCAATCACAGGCGCACCAATTTCTGTTGAGTAATGATCAGTAGTGCGCATGTGCGAGAGTGTAGAATATTTTCCCAGAGCTCTGACTCGTGTGCGTGGTTTTTCAAAATGTCGGGTTTTTAGTCCTGAAGTTCCCTCCGGTCGATTCCGAAACCTTACTACGAGTGTAGATGAAGGTCTAAGGATCACGGAGATATGTTGTTTGACGATTTTCGTCCAGGTTGAAGCGAGTCACGACTACCTTTCCGACGCGTACCGTTCTGTTCCCTCCCTTTGTCTCCATTGTTTGTCCGCCATAATTTTACCGTGAGGCTAGCCACCTTCACCTTCTGGCGCCAGGAACCACGTGATGGCAGGGTCGGTTACTTTATTAATTTCTAT